AGCACCACCATCATCATCATCATCAGCAGCATCATAATCGTCATCATCAGCATCATCATCATCATCATCACCAACACCATCATCGTCATCATCAGCATCATCATCATCATCACCATCATCATCATAATAATTATCATCAGCATCATCATCAGCAGCATTATCATCAGCATCAGCATCATCAGCAACAGCAGCATCATCATCACCATCAGTATCATCGTCATCATCATCCTCATCCTGATCCTCATCCTCATCGTCATCATCAGCATCATCATCAGCAGCAGCATCAGCATCATCACCACCATCAGCATCATCAACATCAGCATCATCAGTATCAGCAGCAGCATCAGCGTCAGCATCACTATCACCATCATCATAATCATCATAACAATCAGCATCATCATCAGCAGCATCAGCATCATCTTCATCACCATCAACATAATCAGCATCAGCATCATCATCGTCATCAGCAGCATCATGACCACCACCATCAGCATCATCATCATGATCAGCACCATCATCATCAGCATCGTCATCCGAATCAGCATTAGCATCATCATCCGAATCATCATCAGCATCAGCAGCATCATCATCGTCATCAACATCACCACCACCACCATCATCATCATCCTCATCCCTCCTCCTCTGCCCTCCTCCTCCTCCTCCTCCTCCTCCTCCTCCTCCTCATGTCCTCCTACTCCTCTTCATCCTTCTCCTCCTCTCCCTCCTCCTCCTCCTCCTCCTCCTTCTCCTCATCCTCCCCCTCGCACCACGCTGGCCCGCCTCCGAATGTTTGGTTCGCGGGATATAGCTGGAAAGTCTAGGAGGCCCCAGTCTCCACCGACACACCACACCGGCCCTCCTCGGGAGTTGCTCGACGGGAGGGCAAGACATGGGGGGGAGCAGGGGGGGGACGTGCACCTTTCGAGGCCCACGTGAGCCACAGGGAACACCTTCAGGGCCCCTCTTGGGCATGAAGGTGCGCCTTCCTTCACCGCCCATCCATCACCCCCCTCCCCTTACGCAACGCTCGACCTCCTCAATGTTTGTCGGGGATGGACAGACCTCCCTTTAGTAAAACGTGGTTTAGTGAAAACGACCTGAGGCCCAAACCTGGCGGGCGCAAGCCTGGAAAATAACGGCCGCGGCGCCCTCTCGAAAACCGAAAACGGACAATTCACTATTCGACGTGTCACTGTTGGGGGTTCTATCCACCCCCGAGTTTGATTTCCGGGCCAGAACTCCAGAGTCCAACGGCCAATCGAGACGAGCTGGGCACCCCCGGAACGCCCTCGGCGAGGCACAGCTGCCGGAGCGCATCCCGAGGCAGGAGAACCCTTACAAGCCGCATTGCGGAAGCCAGAAACGTGACTGTGACCCGTGGCACCCTCGGGTCATGAAAAAATCACGGTGTCAAATCTTCGACTACTGTCGGCCTCCCGGGACCCTCAACCCCTCGCAGGGCCCTGGGACCGTCGAAAAGGAAAAACCAGGTCCTGGGGAATGGGCCGAGAGCATTCTGCATGGAGGCCCGAGTTCGGACCCAGACACCACCGGGGACGGGGGCAGGCCCAGGGGGGCGGGTCTCTCTCAGAGGAGGAAGAGGGGGAAAACCCAGTGATCTGGGCGCTGCGATTGTGTCGCCTGGGTTGTCGCAGAGGTTGCACGTGTCTGAGCGACGGCGGATCTCAGGGACGTGCGGTGACCTCGGAACACTGGAAGACCTCGGTCACCGCACGCTCCGTTGAAGGGGCCCTGGGACACACAAATAAATACACACCAATACAAAAATTCCCCATCTTTTCCCATATCTTGTGGGTTCCTGTCTCCCCCCCCACTTCCCATATTTTCCCATATCTTCTTGGGGATCGACAATTAATTGTGTCTGTGTGTTTTTGTTCCCTCCTGATCCGATGCCGCGCGATTCTGGGGCCCCGGAGGCCAGTCAGTCGCCCGAGGCGTCCTCGGAGAACGGCCCGGACCCCGAAACCGAGCGGTCACTGGGGAGCAACAGACAACCACGCCGCCACTCTTAACCAGCCTCGAACGTATCCCTATCCCTAAGATGGGCGAGCAAAAAGCGAGGACAATTTTAGGGATAGGCCCTCGAAACTGAGGGAATCCTTAAGATCGGCATCGAGGTGAGGTGATGTCAAACATAGGGATAGGGATATGTTTCAAACTGGTAAACTCCCCAGACCTCTCCCAGGGTGCGTTCTGACCTGAGCTCCGCGGCGAAGCCAGTCGTGGCGACGAGGACCCTACCTGGCCGTCGCTCGGACGTCCATTACGTGTGCATGTTTCAGTTTCGTGCGTGGTGTTTTTTCGCCAAATGATCAAGGATGCTCCTCGAGGGTCCTCGCCGAAGGACAGATGCACACGTCCGAGCGATGCCAAGCTACCAGAACAAAAAAAAGGGGAACAACGAGGGAAGGGTAGCGGCATTGGCCCGGGTACCTGCTCCTCCCGTGAGCTCCGAACTCCCGCTGCCTCACTAGAGGCCTCCTAGATGGGGTCGGAGTAGATGGGGTCGGAGGATCGCGCGGCATCGCCGATACATCGGTGATGCATCGCCGATGCATCGGCGATGCATCGGCGATGCACTGCCGACGTCGGCGATGCATCGGCGACGTCGGCGTGGAGAAAAGTGGGCCCCACATCGAGCCGCATCGGCGATGCATCGGCGATGTGGCACGATCCTTCGACCCCATCCACTCCGACCCCATCTAGGAGGCCTAGAATCACACAGTGTGGTCAACACACCCTTTCGGGGGCCCCGAGGCTCCAAATCGAGGTGCGTCGGCTGGCAGCGGGGGAAGGCCGGGGCATCCATGCGCGGCGACGCGGCGCTGGGGGCTCGTTGGGCGTTGCTCACCGGGAGGGGGCGCTGGCCTGACGTGCGGCTCCTCCCCCAGCCTTCTGAGCGCTTGTTTCTCCGTGTCCTCGGGGCCGGCTCGGCGAACTTCTCGGGAGGCTGGGGGGCTTCCGAACCTTCTGACAAGCCTCGCTCCTTCTCGCTTCCCCCCTGGCTCGCCGCGGAACGCTCGCGTCGTGAAACTGAAGGGGCCCTGGGACACACAAATAAATACACACCAATACAAAAATTCCCAATCTGTTCCCACATTTTCTCGGATTTTGTCTCCCCCCCCCACTTCCCATCTTTTCCCACACCTTCGGGGGAATCGACGATGGATTGTGTTTGTGTGTTTTTCACCTCCAGACGAACACTCGCGTCGTGAAACTTTGCGACGGGAGGTCGTTGGCCATGCTCGGCCTCCGGGGGGCCCCCGCCGGGCCTCTCGGAGCTGACCCGTGGGCACCAGGGCCGGGTTTCCCGGGCCGGCGTGCTTGAAGGGGCCACGATAGGGGGGGATAGGCATAGGGTTAAGTCGGGCATGTCCCCCTACAGGGGGATTTTCGACGAAGAATAACAAAAAAAATAAGAAATAGTCCCAAAATAGTCAGGGGACTATTTTTTGAGTATTTTTTGACCTTCTTGGGGCATTCTGGGGGTATTTTATATTTTCCGACGAAAATCCCCCTGTAGGGGGACAGGCCCGACTTAAGCATAGGGGGGGATGCATCGACCTGTGATCGGCGATACATCGCCGGTAGATCGGCGGTAGTCTCCCGATCGTGCATCCGCACAGTCCTGGGCGGGGTGGGGCTATCGGGCCCCCATCGGCGATCAAAGGGTGATTGGGGATCGATGCATCCCCCCCTATGCCTATCACCCCCTATCGTTCCCCCTGGGGCGTGCTGACAAAACACCAAGACGTCGCATGTCTGGGCACACCAGGGGGGCGAAGAAACATGCACCTCTCGTGCACCTTCTGGGCACCAGGGGGCCTCTCCTTCCCAGACCCCCTCGCACTGTGAGCACAATCGCGGCGGGAGTTCTGCTCGCTATCTTCGGCCTCCGGGGGCCCTTACATCGGCCCAATGAAAGTTCCTGGAATTTTCATCACGACGCTGGCCGGCGGAAGTCGACGGAAGTAAAACGAGGCGGAAGACGGGGGAAGGCCCCCGGAAGGCTTGCCAATGTCAGCGGAAGTAAACGACGCCCCTCCCGAACCCCCCACCCCCGTAGAAGCCTAGCAACGTTGTCTTCCTCCGCGGGCCGGGCGGGATCCCGCCTGGCTTATTCCGCTGTAATATTATAAGTTTAGTTCAGGACGATCAAGATCCCACCCATTGAAAATGGGGTAGACCAAAATCCCGGGCCGTTCACGGATCCCGCCATGCTGGGATCGGCCCGAAGTAAGATGGGGCTCATAAGTTGCAGTATTATTGCCGTGTTGGGGTCGTCTTGAGGTCATCTTGAGATCATATCCCGGTCATGTTTGGCTCACGCAACCATCGCGTGGTCATTATGAGGCCACCCTGGGTGCGCTTGGATCAGGAATGTTGCCATCGGGCCATCTCGGCGTCACGCGTCGCTCATGTGTTTCGTCATCTGCGAGTCGGCCTGAGACGGTCCAGAATCCATGGCGGGATCGCGTTGGGGTGGCATCATCCTGGGTCCTCTGGACGTTATCGTCCGTGGCCTGAGGCATTCCTGGAAGCATGTTGTGGCCATGGGACGTCTTGGGATCGCGTGCGTGCGAACGCTGAGCACGCGCGCGCGACTTTTCATCATGCCGACGGGTTTAGATACATAGAAATTCCTTTTACGAGTTTCCAAGGAAACTTTTGTTTGAGCCAAGTACCCGGACCTCGGGACTGTCGAAAACAACACTGGATGAAAAACCGGTCCCCAGGGAAGCGGTCGGGACCTCTGGGGGTCGACGTCATGAAAAAATCATCACGTCGGGTGTGGGTTGCGGGCCCCCATGGCGCACGAAAGGCGCGCTGCTCTTCACCCAGCCCCAGTTAAATCTTCCACCCCTCCCCCCCTTGCGCAACGCCCGAGCTCGGAACGGGCTCTTCGCTCGCGAGGTCGGCCCAGGCTGGAGCTCCTGAGCCTGAGGGCAGCTGCTTCACACACGGGGTGGACGCCGACGCTCCTGGGACCGTCCGCGGGTCAGGTTAGGCTGACTCCGAGAAGGAAGACTCCCAAACTTGCCATCGCTTGGACGTCCATTTCCCGTGCATTTTTCGGTTTCGTGCGTGTTTTTTTTGCTCGATGGTCCAGGATGGTCCTCGATGTTTCTCGTCGAGAGAAAGTGCACACATCCGAGCGATGCCAAGCAAATCACAAGGTCGCGGGTTCGGCTCCCATGGGAGGTGACCTGTCTGTCAGCAGGCAAGGGACGAGAGGCCCTGCTGTGGGGCTGGGCCCGGCTCCCGACCCCACCCCCAGGTGCTTCTCACACGGCACCCTGAGATTCGACAGTGCGAGCAGAAATGCCAAACCGCCGAAAATCACGGACAGAGACCTGGACCCTATCTCCCTGCTGCATGTGTCAAGCCAGATTGATCTGTGATCCCCATGGGGGAACGCGTCCTGAGGGAAACGTGTCCTGGGCCCCGGAGCCTTCTCCCAAGACCACTCGTTCATCCTGAGTCGTTTTCTGACAGTCCTGGGGCCCGTGGAGGGACCAGAGAGCCCGAAAATGGCGAAATTCGCGTGGCGAAGAACCCAACAATACGCAAGTGTGAGTACCGCAGTTGTGGGTATCGTCTTCCGTGGAGCTCCCTCTGGGGCCGCGAAACGCTGTACTGGGCTGGGAACCGCAGATTTGGTGGGCGGGGAACCGCATGCGAACCCTGCTGCCGGGGCACTCGGTGGAGCTCCCCATGGGGCCACGAACCGTGTGAGGGGTGTGCCGAAATGGACGCGCGGCGGGCGGGGAACCGCATGCGAACCCTGCCAATGGGGCCTTCGGTGGAGCTCCCTATGGGGCCACGAACCGCGTGAAGGATGTGCCGAAATGGCCGCGCGGCGGGCGGGGAACCGCATGCGACACCTGCCACTGGGGCCTTCGGTGGAGCTCCCTGTGGGGCCACGAACCGCGTGAGGGGTGTGCCGACATGGACCTGGGCTGGGCGGGAAACCGCATGCGAACCCTGCTGCCACTGGGACCTTCGGTGGCGCTCCCCATGGGGCCACGAAACGTGTGAGGGGTGTGCCGAAATGGACGAGCGGCGGGCGGGAAACCGCATGCGAACCCTGCCACTGGGGCTTTCGGTGGAGCCCCCATATGGGGCCACGAACCGTGTGAGGGCGTGCAGCACTGGGCGGGGAACGATGACGATGCTGGTGATATGATGATGATGCTGATGATGATGATGATGACGAAGATGAAGATGAAGATGATGATGATGATGATGATGATGATGATGATGATGATGATGATGATGATGCTGATGATGATGATGATGATGATGATGATGACGATGATGGTGGTGGTGGTGGTGACGATGATGAAGGTGATCGTGGTGGTGATGATGACGATGATGATGATGTTGATGATGGTGATGATGACGATGAAGATGAGGATGACGATGATGATGATGATGATGATGATGATGATGATGATGATGATGATGATAATGACAATGATGCTGATAACAATGATGATAACGATGGTGATGTCGGTGATGATGACGATGATGACGATGAGATGAGGGGGAGGAGGAGGAAAAGGGGGAGGAGGAGGGGGAGGAGGAGGAGGAGGAGGAGGAGGAGGAGGAGGAGGGAGGGGGCAGCGGGAGAAGGAGGAGGAGAAAGAAGAGGAGGAAGAACGCGGGGCGCTGCTCTTCAAAACGAGGACCCAACACCACCGGATGGTTGGGAAACATATTTCAGGAGCCATGTCCCTCAGGCCCTCAAGACCCATTTCCCCCGTCGGGGATGCACTGACCCGGGTCAATCCAAACACGGGTCAGTCAGGCCTTGCAGGATCCTGCAAAATCCTGCAGAAACCTGCACGCAAGCCTGTGACCGTGCCATCCTGGCGCTGCAGGATCCTGCGAGGGTCCCGGGGCTGGGACACCTCAGGACCCGCGGACCCGTTTCCCCCATGGCGATGGTAAAGAAGAAGAAGAAAAAGAAGAAGAAGAAACGCCGTAAACGTAAACCTTTGGCGCTCGGCGCGGATTTGGATTCACACCGGATCCCCCTCCCTGGCGCGTTGAGCGCGCCAGGGGCCGGAGGAGCCCCCGAGGGGGGCCCAGCGCGGATCCAAAGAACTCGCGCGGAGCGCCAGAAGTTTATGCTCATGGCGTTCGTGCTCCTTCGAGACGCGAGGGTCCCAGTGGTGCGCTTGTTTTCCACCGCCACCACCACAAGAAGGAGGGGGAGGGAGCCCTCCTCCTCCTCCTCCTCCTCCTCCTCCTCCTCCTCCTCCTCCTCCTCCTCCCTCCTCCACCTCTTTCCCCCCCCAACTGATGGCGGCGGTGGAAAACAGGCCGGGGCCGCGGCACCGGGCCGAACCGCCCAGCTGCAGAGAGGCCGCACCGCCCCGGCTGCGCCCCTTCCCCTGCGGTGTGCGCTCCGCCCGCCGGGCCGGGGCGGCCGTGCCGCTGCTCCTCCGGGCGACACCCTTTGAAGGGGGCCCTGGGACACACGAAGGAATAGACACACGTAACAAGATTCCCCATAGATGCCCATGTTCTCCGGTTCTTTTTCTCGTCCCCCCCACTTCCCATCTGTTCCCACATGTTCTGGGGAGTCGATGATTGATCGTGTCTGTGTGTTTCCTGGTTCCTCCTGAACCCCGTGCCGCACGGGGGTCTCGCGAGTGCCGTGCGGCAGCGGCGCCCGAGGGTTTTCCAGCCATTGGGACGCACAGAGGACATACTACAACCCTCGACAGAGTTACAGAGTTGACGCACCCCAAAGTTGATTGGCTCGTCGAGCCCACGAGAAAAATGCGTAGAATGCTCGCAGATCTACGAAGATACCACTCATAGCTCCACGAGGAAATCGATTCTGGGGTGCAGTAGGAGCCCGACCACAAGAAACCTTCCACAAGAAACCCAACCCTGAGACCCCAGGACGTCCACTGATTTTGTTGGTGCGGAAGCCGTCACGCGTTCCGCAGCAGGGCCATCGAAACCCAAGAGACCCGGGGCACCCTGGAGGCAAATGGGATGTGTTTTGGCATGGGTCTCCACTGCACTGCAACCCTCGAGCTCAAACATGCGCCGGCCTCTCCTCCGACACTGCAGGGGCCGGCAGCGAAGGGGGGCTCTGGGCGCTTGTGAGCTTCATTTTGTCGAGGACTGCAGTGCGATGTGTCCTCCTTGGAGGCGGGCGTCCCGCCCGAACATACAGCACAAGCATCGTGCGAGATCTCTCTACGTCTATACACATCGTTCACCGAGCGGCATGGCCAGACAGCGCCCGCTGGAGCTTATGTGCTACAGGATTTCTCGGTGCGCGCGTCGCCCCGTCAGGGGGCGAAGCACACATAAGTTTTAGTAGATGCTGGGGTGACGCACCTGACGGGGGGGTCTTCGATATGTCTGGCCTCTGAGGAGTCTCCCCGGGCCTCGGGGCCGTCAGGACAAAAATTCAGGATGGCACCACGGTCCTGGGGAAAGGGTCGAGACCTCTGGGCGCCGACATCACGGAAAGAAATGACTTCGGGTGTCGGGAACCCCCCGAAACGGCGGGGGCGATGTTTCACAGTTTCCGAAAAAAAACCTCTTGAAAATGGAACCGGTTGAAAACACACACACACACACAAAAAAAAAAAAGAGACAACCGAGAACGGGCAAACAACGGCTCCGGCATTGGAGCTGGAACCCGGAAACGGCGGCGGTACCGGCACAAAGACAGGGCGCCGGAACCGGCAGCAAAATGGCAAAACGGAACTGGTAACAGAAAACTGCCTTGTCGTTTCCAGGGCCTACTGGCCTACTATCGGGCGTTGGCAGAATTGGATTTAGTGGAACCTGGTTTAGTGATGTGTACTGGGGGAGGCCCCCCCCGCCCCGTTCCACTAACAGGAACTGCCGTCAACCGAAAAACACCAGCTACGGCAGACCTGGTTAAGTGATTCTGGCTGATTCCAGGGCCCTGGGGCCCTACCACTAACCGGGTCCCCTTACCTGGGGTCCTGGCTATGCCCGGTACCAAGCCCCCCCCCATCCCCACACTTCGTCGCGTGCACCAGGCCCTTCCCAGGAGTGGCGGGCCGCCCAGTCGCCGCGGAGGGGCGCTCCCGCTCGAAGGGCAGCGCGGCAGCCCCCCAGGACACCCCTTACGGGACACCCAGGCCCCGCGTGGAATACTTAGTTGGATCGCCGCGGTGGTTGCTGAGGGGGGGGGGGAGAAATGGGAGCCGAAGTGGGTCTGATCCAGCCCAGCCCAGCTCAGAAGTGGGTTGCGCGTGCCCTGAGTGGCTTAAGGGCGCACAGATCTGGGCTGAGTGGGCGGAGCCCACTTAACGTTGTGGATGCCATGACAACGGACACTCTAACAGTCCTATCATTGTATAAAAATATTTGGTAAACATGGGTACATAATGTTCTAAAAATGTTTCAACCATGTTTTTACATGTTTAAAACATGGTTAAACCATGTTCGAAATTATTTGGCAGTATGTTTCCTCTCCATTCATCGTCCTCCATACACTTGGCGGAGTTGCCCCATCATCTTTAGACGCCCGAAATGGGCACGGAAAGAATGGGTACAATGCCCAACAACAAATGCTGTCCCAAACCAACAGCGGCCGCTGTTGGGTAAGCGGCTCTCTGTCTCGAATGGACACAGGCCGCGGCGGCGCGGACAGCGAGTCCTGTTCAAAATGGACAGGACCTGCTGCTCGGCATCGTACCCATTCTTTCCGTGCCCATCTCGGGCGTCCAGATTATCCCAAGCCACAGCTCGCGCCCTGAAATCTGGGGAAACATCATGGCCCCCGCCATGATATCCACCCTCCCCCAGTCATCCCCCCCTCTCTGCCACCCCCGACCGTCCTCCCCCGACCATCCCACGCCCACACTCGTCCCCAAAGACGACGACGTCGTCGTCGTCGTCGCTGCTCCTCCTCCTCCTCCTCCTCCTCCCCCTCCTCCCCCCTCCTCCCCTCCTCCTGTCCTCCTCCTCCTCCTCCTCATCCTCCTCCTCCTCCTCCTTCCCTTTTCCTCCTCCTCCCCCTCATCTCATCGTCATCCTCCTTCCTCCTCCCCCCCTCCTCCTCCTCCTCCTCTCCTCCTCCCCTCCTCCCCTCCCTCCTCCTCCTCCTCCTCCTCCCTCCTCCTCCTCCTCCTGCTTCTCCTGTCTGCCACAGCTCGCGCGGGCAGCCACGGCCCGCGCGGGCTGCCCGCGCGACCCTCTGCGCGGCGGCTCACGCGGGGCCGCCCGCGCGGCACGCCCCGCAAGGGCGGCGGTGGGCGCCCGCGCGCGGCCCTCGTCCAGTGGCAGCTCGGGCGCCCACGTCCGGAGGAGGAGGAGGAGGAGGGGGAAGAGGGGGGAGGAGGAGGAGGAGGAGGAGGGGAGGAGGAGGAGGAGGAGGAGGGGAGGGGGAGGAGGAGGAGGAGGGGGAGGAGGGGGAGGAGGGGGAGGAGGAGGAGGCGGATGAGGAGGAGGAGGAGGAGGAGGGAGGGAGGAGGGAGGAGGGGGGAGGGAGGAGGGAGGAGGGAGGAGGGAGGAGGGAGGATGTTGAATATGTCGTCGCCGATCCATGCCCGGTTGCGATGCGAGGCGATGCGATGCGACCACAGTTGCGGAGAGCGTCCCTAGCTCAGACCAGGTGGGAGAGGCCGGGGCCTGTCGAGAGTCTGCCTATCTTTGGGTCGGGCATGCCCCCCTACAAATTCCCAAGTAGTCGAAAAATAGTACCATACTATTTGTTTGACTACTTTTGAATATTCCTCCTGTAGAGGGACAGGCCCGACTTAAGCTTAGCTTGTCTTGGCGGCACGCCCAAGGGGGAGGCGAGGAGGGGCGGGCCTTCTCAGAGGGCTCAGAGGTACCCCAGCCTTCGGAGGAGAGTTCTAAGCCCTCCCCGAAGGCAGAGGACACCTCCCAGAAGGCCGGAGGCCTTCTGGGAGGCCCCGCCGCCTTCTGAGGAGGCCTCCTCCTCTTCACTGCCCCCCCTCGCACGCCGTCGACAGTCTGGATGCATGCAATGCTTGTCGAGAATCTGGCTCGTCTGGGTCCTGCCTCGCCATCGCTCGGACGCCCATTCCCCATGCATCTGCAGGCTTCGTGCGTGCAATTTGTTCGCAGCGTGAGCCAAGATGCTCCTCGATGGTCCTCGCCGAGAATAGAAAAGAAGAGAGCAGCAGAGACATAAACTGTTGCCTTCCCCGCGCGGATGTATTGGATCTGTGCTGGACCCCCCTGCCTGGCGCGCAGAGGGCGCGCCAGGGGCGCAGGAGGCGCCGCAAGGGGGGTTCAGCGCGGATCAAAAACTATGCGCGGAGCGCCAAATGTTTATGGTTATGACATTGCTCATGTTCGTATCGTTCGTAGAACGTTAAACATAGTACTAGTATGTTGTATGATTGTTACTAGTATAGTTCGTATTAGTACTATTAGTGTTATACTTCGTAGTTTGATTGTCTTGGTATCACTAGTGCGATTCTTATTGGCACTATCATTCTTCATACCAGTGTTAGCATTATCATTACTATTCGCATTACCCTTATTATCATAACATTTAGGAACAAGTAGTATCGGAGGTGAGGGGGTGAGATCGAAGTGGAACGGAGAGCCCCCCTACCGGGAAATCGATTTCGGTTTCGTGTTCGTGCGTGCCGTGCGCGCGGGCGAGGCGAAGCTGCGTGGGCGGGCGAGAGGAAAGTCTCCTGTGGCTGAGGCGCGGCCGGACCAAATGTGTCTCTTCCGGGCGGCCGGTGGCGCGCGGTGTCCCGCCGGTGTCCCGTTGGTGTCCCGTCGGTGTCCCTGTGGCTGAGGCGCGGCCGGACCAAATGTGTCTCTTCCGGGCGGCCGGTGGCGCGCGGTGTCCCGCCGGTGTCCCGCTGGTGTCCCGTCGGTGTCCCTGTGGCTGAGGCGCGGCCGGACCAAATGTGTCTCTTCCGGGCGGCCGGTGGCGCGCGGTGTCCCGCCGGTGTCCCGCTGGTGTCCCGTCGGTGTCCCGTCGGTGTCCCGATGATGATGTGGATGATTATGATGATGATGGTGATGATGATGATGGTGATGATGGCAATGATGATGATGATGTTGGTGTTGTTGATGATGATGATGATGATGATGATGATGACGTCGATTGTGAGATCGATTGTGACATCGATAGTGAGACCGAATGTGAGACCGATTGTGAGATCGATTGTGAGATCGATTGTGAGATCGATAGTGAGATCGATAGCGAGATCGATAGTGATATCGATAGTGAGATCGAATGTGAGATCGATTGTGAGATCGATTGTGAGATCGATTGAGTGAGACGTTGGTTCCCCCTCCCCCGTCACCTCCTTCTCACCCGCAGGGTGGTCGTATAGGTACTTCGTATTCGTAGCGTGTTCCTTTTGGTATTCTTAACAGTAGTAGTATGATGAAGATCATGTTCACTTGTACCTCGAATATGGTGTTCCTCACTTGTCTGTTTATTTCCTCCTATTCTTAGCGTTGTTGTTATTATTAGT